TGAAGGGATTTTCAGCGCCTAAATCATGGCTTGAATTAATATTAAGCATATCTTTGGGTATATTTTCATTTAGTGGACAGACGTTAATGACTTTGGCCTTACAGGCAGAACAGGCCGGACCGGTAGCGGTCGTGCGAGAGGCCACAGATATAATGTTGTCAGTAGTATGGGATATAGCGTTGTTTCAATTATTTCCTGACAATTGGTCAATAAGTGGTGCGATAGTTGTCTCCTCCTGTATATTATTAACGAGTTTACATAAATGGATTCAAAGCAGAAAAATCAAACTAATTAAAGAAGTTAAAGAATCTTGTCCATCTAGTCCTACTACAGAATCACACAGCACTTATTTATAATATTCATTTATTGTAGTCATCTGTTATTGTAATTAATAATATACACTTTAATCAATGCAATAAAATAAATTATAATTACTAAGAATCATACAGGATGTTTTATTTAAATTATAAACAAGTAAAATTCAAATACATTTTTAAATTCATATCATACCCAAACATGAATTTGTAATATCACGTCAAGTGAGTTATTAGTATACGATTACATATTTTAAAATAAAAAGGTTGTAATATAATCTTTAGATTACATTTTAATATAAGTATAGTAACTGAATTTAAAAAAACATTCATACAAAGGAATAACTTAACAGTTTAATTACTAATTATTTATAAAATAACTTATAATTAAAATATTAAAAGTAATTAAGAATTAAGAGAATTTTAAGATTCTTATAAAGAATACAACGAATTTTTAAATAAACATTTAAACAGTCATTTGGTAACAAATTTAAAACTTTTCTTAACCGTCGAGTTTTTGGGAAGCGTTACAAACCATTTACGTATGGATGACATAAGTACTGAAGACATGACCAAAACGGCTCCAAACACTGACCACTTGTCCGGTATTTCGTTAAATATCGTTATTTGAAAGACAAACGAATAGATTACCTAAAGATTATGCAAAATATAAATGATTAAAATATAAAATATATTGAAACGACATTAAAAATAAACAATACCTCAGAACTGGCCCTAACTATGGACACCAAACCGGCCTCTTCTGCCTGAAGTGCTTTCGTAAGCAATAATTGTCCGTAAAATGAGAAGATAGCGACCAAACACATGAGCCACGAGTTGGCACTAATGGCCGGTATATTATCCGGGAATTTGAAGTCATTTAAGAATAACGTTATGATAGATGTCTCAGTGATGGCCACCAAAGAAAAGTTGAAAAGTATTACTGAGTGGTGAAGACTCTTCAGCTGTTAGTTTACAAACAAATATTAATTATATTTCAAAATTGTATTAAGCATTTAAATTAATTGTAGTACTTTTCTAACTAAGACATAAACGGATGATCCGATAAGAGTAGCGCCAATACTAAAGCCGAGTCCAATTAACTCTCTGTGATTGTCAGCTTTAAATATATTAATGGTTGTGTGACTGAAGCTAATGTTGACTTTCGATGCAAATGCGATACCAATTAGTGTAACGAATAGCGAGAACACGTGAAACAAACCAAACGATTCTTTGAGGAATATTTTGGCGAAAATGAACACAAATACAGGCATTGAGAGTACGATTACAGTAGCGTTGGCTATTGACATGTAATGGAGGGCACTATATCTGAAGTATAAACTCGTGGCACCGGCTATTCCTCGAAGTATTAGCCAAATACGCGATTTTGAGGGACCAAATGGATTACTCTTGATCTCCATTACCACAGGAATTGTGAACAATAATATTCCTATACATTAAAAATAATTAATTAATTTCAATCTTACTTTTCCATAGAATTTATCAAACATAAGTTTTATATTCCGGTGAATATAATGTATTTTTACAAATGGTTTGTACTGTACATTATAATAAGTTATGTTAGTAATATATCATTTATTGAATAAATTGATTATTTTAGTTTTAATCTCATGATTCATTAAGATGGTTAAAAATGTGTTTCACTATATAACTTATAGAATATTATACAGTACTGTGAAGTGTATATACTTCATATCAAAGACAAATTAAGTAATAATAAATATATATGAAAAATAAGTCCAAGAATCTGAATTACCTAAGAATCTGAAGAATGCCATTTCTGAAGGGTCTACATCTTTGCAATACTTTACTATAACAGTGGTTATAGAGAAAAATAGTGCCGATATTATAGTCAAACAAATGCCTTTCAAAGCTTTAGTCCATTTGGTTGTGTCCACTATTTGAATGTTTTCTTCAATAGATTTCATATGATTTCCATAAATGGTTTCCTCAGGAATGGGAATTGGATTCTGGATTCCGTTCTCATAGAGAATGATGTCTTCGTCGGAGTCATCTTTAGGGCACAACTCTCTTGTGCTCTCACTTTCATGTAATCCAATGGGAATTCTGTTGGAATTTAAAGAATTTAATAAATTTGTCATTTTGTTTGATATTTAAATGAAAAAACAATTTTTCAATAATAATATATATCACTTACGGAATATCAATTTCTATGCGATTATAATAAGATTCTGTGAGTTTGTTTGAAAAATTCTTAGAGTTTACAGATTCTTTTGAATCGGTTGTCATTTTATTTGTGTTAAAAATCATTTGACAAATATATAAATTTAAGATATAATATAATATGAATATATATACTGTATATATTTATTAATAAAAAATATATAATATGCTACTATTTTGTTTTCAGATAATATTCATTCATTTAATTGAGAAATGTCAACTACTTGTTTAAAAATGTGTTTCTCTAAAACAAGACATAAATGTCAAAAAGTTTTGACTCTATAATATCCACAACTGTTTGTTCACCTGTTTATGAGATTCTGGTCGCCAATGACTAAACGACACATACTTTATAGAATATATCGAATAAATTGGTATAAAATACTAGGATTTACTTCATATATCTATTTACGGTATATTTTATTTAAAAATAAATAATAATCAAGCATTACCCTGTTTGACGTGAGATAGTGCGCCCCGGCGTATAGTGCGCTTTCTATATTTACCACAAAACTATGTTTTTACTCAGATAATGCGCACCCGCCGTATAGTGCGCACAGATTTTATTTGAATATACACACAGGTATTAATGACTATAAATTAAGAGCTTTAGGGCAAATTCTTATTTGAAATGTTAGGCATAAGCTTAACACAAGATTTAGATAAGACTTAAAAGTTTAAATAATTTAATTCAAAATTTATTTAGTCAGTTTGTGCTAATACTCACGTTTTTTAACACATTTACTCAAATTAATGTGTTTTTAATTTATATAGTTGTTTAATTCTTTGATTCTATTAATTTAAAATTATTGCAAATAAAAATTATTTTAATTTAAATTATTTTTTGGTCATGTCTTCAGTACTTATGTCATCCATACGTAAATGGTTTGTAACGCTTCCCAAAAACTCGACGGTTAAGAAAAGTTTTAAATTTGTTACCAAATGACTGTTTAAATGTTTATTTAAAAATTCATTGTATTCTTTATAAGAATCTTAAAATTCTCTTAATTCTTAATTACTTTTAATATTTTAATTATAAGTTATTTTATAAATAATTAGTAATTAAACTGTTAAGATATTCCTTTGTATGAATGATCTTTTAATTCAGTTACTATACTTATATTCAAATGTAATCTAAAGATTATATTACAACCTTTATATTTTAAAATATGTAATCGTATAATAATAACTTAAATGTATTTGTATTTTACTTGTTTATAATTTAAATAAAACATCCTGTATGATTCTTAGTAATTATAATTTATTTTATTTTATTGATTAAAGTGTAAATTATTAATTATAATAACAGATGACTACAATAAATGAATATTATAAATAAGTGCTCATTGATTGTGAAGTAGGACTAGATGGACAAGATTCTTTAACTTGTTTAATTTGTTTGATTTTTCTGCTTTGAATCCATTTATGTAAACTCGTTAATAATATACAGGAGGAGACAACTATCGCACCACTTATTGACCAAATGTCAGGAAATATTTGAAACAACGCTATATCCCATACTACTGACAACATTATATCTGTGGCCTCTCTTACGACACGATGGCCAGGCCGGACAAGACGGACATTCCGGTTTCAGTAATTGCAGACAGGTGATTTACTTTTATATGGGTTTCTATACGAATTATAATTAAGTTCGGTACTAAATCCGCGACTTTTAGGGAAGTTTATAGCCGTTAAAATCACTGTTTCAATGATTGCTATCCACCCGAAGTTAAACATTATTATTGAGTAATGAATGTCTAAATAAATATACAATATGTTTAAAATTTTGTTTTTACATTAATTTGTAAATTCTAAGATACCTTTCAATTGTCTGATAAATATAAAAACTGCTGAACCAAATAAAGTGGACCCGAAAGCGGCTAAAACTCCCCACAAATGCTGATTTGGTATTACAGTATTGAGAGTGGATGGTCCTGGCTGTTCTAACTCGCTATATGTTGTATAATTATCAGTTAAATTCAT